TGGTTCATATTTGCTTTTTATGATAACCAGTTCTTGACAGTTTCATTCCATTGACATGTGTATAATAAGTTAATAAATCAGTATCCAATTTGGGGTATGTTTAATGATATCTAATATAACATACACATCAATAATTATTTGTGAAATGAGAAAATGCTATTTAGACTTTTGCATATCCTTAATTTTGTTATCACGTATGGATACATTTAATGTTTAAAAAAAAGTTACTTAATTCTGATTTCCAAAATCCTAATCATAAATTCTAAAAAAACTATCCTAAAGTTATCTCATATAAATAAATGAGATGATTTAGCAAAGTCGTATGATTTTTTTGTCAGTTGTAAGGAGCGGTTATGAAATAGTGAGATGTATTTGTTCTTGTGTATCATAAACCATCTCTGAAGGCAGAAAGTTTTAAGCTTCTACAGAAGTTACAAAGGACTATCAGATGGCTTCTAATCTCAAAGAATTTATAGACTGGGGAGAAAAAACTTACACTGAAATAATACTGTATCAAAACACCAGTCCCATCGCTAGGAATAAAACAAATTCATGTGTTCATTAGCCATCTTCAGTGAACTCAGGTTTCCTTTTTCTTAACAGAAAGAGATCAGAGTTGGCTTTTTAGGCATTCCACAATGAAAAATACAGAATTATCTGTGAGGTATTTTAGAGACCAGTTAGGCCAATCTTGTTTACATTAACTCTATTGCAAGTAATGGATGGTTTAAGCATAGGGTGTAGTTACTGGTTCATGTGATATAATTGGCCTGTGTCTTCTGGGTGCAGCCTGGTGCTCAGAGTTTGGTTTCTAAATATCACTTGCCATGTAAGTGGAAACAGGCCTACCTGGAGAAATGGCTGATTCCAGAATGAGAGCAGAGAAAATGTGTGAGGTGGGTCTGCGACAACTTAATGTAAAAAATTATGAAGAAAATGGGGTCCTGCCAAAAGAACACAGAAACTGGTTTGAAGTTCCCCAGTGGCCAAATTTGGAAAAATAATGAACATTAAACAGAATAACAATAGCAATTGATTATTACACAAGAAAAAAAAGGGGGCAGTGGGAGAAAGGGCAGGGGAAGTTTTCTCTAGGTAAGCATACCAGCTAATGTGGAAGGAATGATAGAGTTAGATCACTCTTTTGTAGTCTTAAATGGATTTCTTGAAGCAAGGATTATCAGTGAATGCTAAATCATGGTGACAATGATTGGGAAATAGGGTAGCCACATAGTACTAATTTATCACCTCCCTATTTTTTACTGATACAAAGGGGAATGTGTACCTTTACAATAGATCTGGGAGAAACCATCTTAACCAAGGGACCATGCTTAGCATCAATAATAATGGGATAACCTAACATTCTGTGTTTTCAGATTTGATGAAATATCAAGTTCGCAGTATGAAGTATTTTTGCCAAAACTATTTAACTTGTATTTAGACTTAGCTTTTGGTTCATAGGAAATACAAGTGATGGAGTAGTGGAGATGGAGAAAATAATCAGACAAATGCAAAGTGTGGGACATTCTATGAGATAATCAGGACTCTATCAAAACTCAATGTCCATTAAAAGAAAAGCAGCAGGATTTTTGATTAAAAGGTACTGTAAAGGTAAAGCAACCAAATGCAATGGTTAAAACTTAATTGGATCTTAGATTGGGGGATATAGTGTAAAGACATTGGGTGGCTAACTGAGAAAATTTGAATATGGAATGGATATTAGAAAGTATGGTATTATTAATATCTTAAGTGTGATAATGGTATTCTGGGTATGTAGAAAAATACCTGTATTCCTAGGAGATGCATGTTGAGTTGCGCTATGATGTCTACAACTTTTAAAACTTCAGCAAAAAAATTTTATAAATAGAGAAAGGGGTTGATACACAGAAGCATATATGAAAGTATAGTATTGTTGTTGAGTAGATGTACTATACTTTCAGCTTTTGGCTCAAAAAATTTGAAAATAAACTGGAAAAAGAAAGAGTTCAATATGATGAAAACAAAGCAAAAGTCTTGTGGTGCGCAGGCACACTGTCTGGCCCAGTTCTGTCCAGGGCTTTCACAACGGCATTAGGGCCACTTCCTCCATCCCTCAGCTCTCCCTGTCCTTGCACAGAGGCGAACACCTGTGAGCATCAAGTGAAGTGTGATCCTAGTGTTAGCAGCTGAATTTTAGTTAACTGAGAAAATTTCCAGATAAGATTAATAGAGAAGCTTGGAGCAGAACTTTGTCTTATTAGTTTTTAGCATTTCCGGTGTCAGGAATTATGTAGGCATTCAAAAACTAATGACTGAAAAAATACATAAATAAAGGAGTGACCAAATTTGAGGATTGCCTGGAGAAGTGAGAGCATACCAGTGACCTTTTTCAAATCCAGTAAATATTTGTGGAATTTAATAGAATTGAGCTAGTTAAAGGGCACATAAGGTGAAGATTGATTTCAGAAGTAAAGGGAAGGGCTGTTTTTAAATCTATGCATGTAATAATGACTACATTTTTTTCTTTCTTTCTTTTTTTTTCTTTTTACTTTCAGTAATAGTACTGGCCTTCCTGAATTAATGATCAAAGCGCTTGAGTGGAAGTCCACTGTAGTTTTCCTACACAGGGGGAAAATTTGAGTTTGGTGAGAAGTCTTCAGAGGGTGGCATGTGCAATTACGTTTTGTTCCTTGGTGAGCTATGAGTTGGGCACTTAATTATGTAAAAAATATTGCAAGAGAGCAGTTGCATAATCCCCAAGAGAGTAATTATTGTCCATCTTGGCAGAATGCAAGGCTTTTAATCTGTAAATAAGCAGTCCTGTGTGGAAGAGCTCCATGCAGAGCGATTCTGTGTTGTAAAGGTCTTATGCATTTTTTAACGTGAAAGCAGTAACTGTGTGTGCTGATTGGCTGTTGCCTTTGTGCTTCAAAGGGTTTATGATGCTTCCCCTGTGGTTTTAACCCCTGTTGAAATACTGAAGCCTCTGAGAAGGATTCCTGTAAAAGGTAAAGCTGTCTGAGTTAAGCCAATGAAAAACCTGAATGTTTCAAGTGTAGAGGAAGTGAAATGTGCTTTCTGTAACCTGAAAATAAACCAAGATGAAGAGCAAAATGACAAAATGAAACCCTTGCAGTGCTTAAAAAACAGAAGGCAAAGATGTAATAATTAGCTAGTAGGTTTCTTACTTCTTGAAGGTTAATAATTTTATTTTTATGGGTGCAATTGCAGTTAATAGTTCTAAGAAGAATTAATTCACTTTCAGGTAAGTATGTGCTTTGCTTAGGTGGATCTGAGTCTTTCAGATAGTGAAAGTATATTCTGTTGTTTTATTTAAGTTATCGGTGGCTTCCGACTTCCCTTGTCCCTCCTGTTAGTATTGATGGGTTGAGCATGCTCTTCTCTAAGGCTAGCTTTCCCATTTGAGCCCTAGATCTCCCTTCCCCTTTGCCTTCTCAAGGACTGCATTTGGGTGACTGTCGATCTCTTACATGACCAACTTTCCCCTCTTTACCAAATTATTCCTATCAAAATAGAAGCATGTTGTAACAGCTTCCAATGTTTTAAAAAGCCCTTTCTTGACTTGTCTTTCTCTCTGACTGCCTCCTCAATCCTCTGCTCCCCTTTGCAGCAGAACTCCTCAAGAGTCAATGTTCTGTCTTCACTTCCTCCATTTCCATGTTCTCTTGAACCTGCTCTGAGCAGTCTTTCACCCCAGCCCTCCACACAGAACCTGCTTTTGTCAAGGTGTACCTTCACCTTGCCAGATTCGATGGACGGCACAGGTGAAATCTTAGTTGATTAGCAACAGGAGATGACACAGTTTATCACATCTTCTTCCTAGAAATAATTTTTTCACCTGGCTTCAAGGAAATCCTGTTCTGGTCTCCAGCCTCCCTCCTCCCTGGTCCCTCTTTCTCAGCCTCTTTGTGGGCTGATCTTCTGTGATTACCTGGTCTCAGGGCCTCTCCTCTCCTTTGCTTTCTCCCAAAGATACTCAGACAGTAGAATGGTTAAAAACAGTCTGTACTCTAAGGACTCCCAAATTTAGGCCTGGAATACACACCTGTACCCTGGACTCCAGACCTGTGCATCCAGTTGCCTGCTGCCCCACATCCTGTTGGATGACCAAAAGGCATCTCGAACTTAGCACAGTCAAAATATAACCGTGGCCTTCCCATGGTTTTCTCACCACGGTTAATGCAGTAGTGCAGTGGCCTTCTTTCAGGCTGCCTGTCTCATCCTTGCTCCAGCCCTTTTCACTCTATACTCGAAACAGCAGCCTGAAAGACCCTTTTAAGAAGTCGGATCATTGTCCTTCTCTGCCACCAGTCCTGCAGTGACTTCTTGACTGAGAGTAAAGGCCTGTCCAACAATGTCCTTCATCATCTGACCCCATTACCTTTCTAGCTCACCTCCTTCCTTTCTCCTTATCACTTGCTCTGTTCTAGCCTCATTAGCTGCTTCCTTAGACATACTTCAGAAACTTGTGCCTCAGGGTCTTAACACGAGATGCTGTCCTGGGCTGGAATACTGCCCTGTAATCCTGCAGGGTTTGCACCTTCACCACTGTCAAATCTCTGGCTCATCAGTTCCCCTCTTGTTGACCCCTTTCTAACAACCCCATGTAAATGCCCTGCCCCACCCTCACAAGCACTCCTGATCCCTCTATAAAATAAAAATGGACATAAAAATATTTATTTACTTTTGAAAATGAAACATTGAAAATAGAAATATTTTATGAACATAAAAATATTTACTTTTCTGTTTTTGCTGCTAAGTGAGTTCTTGTCTGTCTTGTCTTATTAGCATGTACATTTCACCAGGCCAGAAGTTTTGTCTGCCTTTTACTGAAATTTTGTGCCAAAGAGAGAGTGGGCACTCAGTAAACACTGCTGAAGGGGTAATTGAAAGCAATCTCAAAAGCAGATGAGTCCTTCCTTGTCATTTTTATAACCTTTTGGGTGTGACATCATTCAGAATGATTTGCTGCATACTGACAGCTGTTTTCTCTTCCTCAGTTTCTCTGCCTGAAGAACATAAGGACATTCCTCACGGCCTGCTGCGAGACGTTTGGGATGAGAAAGAGTGAACTCTTCGAGGCGTTTGACCTGTTTGATGTTCGTGACTTTGGAAAGGTAATGACGTCTTATTTTTTATGTATTTTTTTATTGGAAAACACTTGATGAAATAGTGTTTCTTATTCTGTAGAAGTGGGGCATGTAACTCAAGAGGTCTTGGCATTTGCTTTATGTGGCTGAGTTTCTCACGGAGGTGACTTGGACAAAAAAACCATAGTGGCAACAATTGTCCAAATGAGATGAGATGTATATTTTAATTTGAAGCAGTATAAGGAGCATCTTTTATCCAGGGGTCAGTTTTCCTCTTGGTTACCTCAGAGGGCAGGATTACTATTTCCTGTGCTAGGTCTGAGGACCAGTTCTTCGCCTCCAGCCTTCTCTGAACCTGAAAGGTACCTACTTTTTGGGAGCTGAGAAATTTGTTGTTCTATTGCCCCTCTCTCTGTTTTGACACTTGGATAAGCCTTGGTGAGGACATGACTTACTGGGGTTGTTGAATAACCCCTATTGGCTTGGATTTCAGCAGATCCATGTTAGATTGTTAGGCTTCAGTGATGTTTGTCGCATGTAAATTGCTTTACTGTTTCCTGTCATTACTTGCATGTACACCAAATACTCGTGTATAACAGGTTACATAAATCAGCTTTTCAAAAGTTCTGGTTGTTTATTTTGAAGTGATTGGGCATGAAGTTAGGCATCTTGCATGTAAGAAGCCATAAAAGAGTCAGTTAATTAAGATGACTTATTTGAACCTCTGGGACATAATTGCATTAGAAAATAAGCACATAAGAAGGGAAAAAAATACATGATATTGAGAAGTTTGGCCTTATTCTTGTAATTCAGATGCTAGTATCAACAAAAGGTTGTTTGAGAATGACAGTTTATTTGATTTCTAAGATGTAATATTTTGGTTATAAACTGGAAACCAAGCGATGGACTGATTTGCTTGGCAATGGGAATAAATAACACAAACTTGAAACACAGGCCTAAGGAATTTGATGCTGAAATACAGCAAGTATGGGGAAGCCACCCTGCCCAGGGAGAAGGAAGGCTGGGTGCCTGACCTGTAGTCACTTTGGGATTTTCTGGAAGTCACCAGTCCCCTCAACCATCAGACCAACTGCCAGCTTGCAAGTCTATACCAGAGGAAATGGGTATAAGCACAGGGTTCCTAAAATTCCTTTTTTCTCTGACAAGCTGTGAACTGTCTTGGGGTCCAAAAAACAGTACGATGGCAGCTAAGGTTAATAACTAAAGAGACAAATGTTGCACAGATTCTTGTCTGTACACATGTAGTCAGTTGTCCATTGTGGTGAATTCTGCTTCCTAGTCTTTTCTGGGATCTCCCTCAGATTTGGTTCAGGAAATCTACCTTGAATCATACGCTTTGATATGGATGTTTTCTTTTGGAAGTTGGGAAAATGCTGGGAAAACCAAAGGAATTTATGAAATTAAAAAGCCCAAGTGACCTATCACTTGACATCTAATTGCCCTTTATCTTTATGGAACGAAGAAAGATTTAGGTTACAGCACGAGTTCGATTTATGGTACTGTAAGTGTTAATCAACACAAATGAGTGGTAACTTTTCATTTGTAAGATGGTGAAGAACACACATTTTGGGCACTCTCAAAGGACTTATGATAATTTTGCCTATCAGTGTTACCTTTAATTCCTAGTGTTGAACTTTTATCCCGTGTTAAAAGAGTGTTCTTTTCTTTTCAAACTCATATGTCTACAAAAATTAGAATAGTTCAGAACACTTCCTATACCTTGATTTAAAGAACAAAATCATAGAAGGCTGGGCAATGAGTTAGTGACTTGAACTTAACCAGGAGTCAGCAGAGAGAGCCCTCGAGATGAACTATGGCTCTTACTATCAGGATTGTTAAATACTGACACAGGTTCCTGCCAGAAGTGGAGTGTCTGTCTGAGACTGCTGAGTCTTTTCCCTGATTTGGGCTGGGCAGTGCTTGGGTGCCCTTTCAGGAACCCGAACAGCTTCTCACTGTCCTGGTGTTTATGTTTTTGGGTAAATGTGAAAAATAATTAATTTTCTTATTTAAAAAAAAAGATGGAAGCTTTCTGGCTTTCTGCTAACAACAACAGCAAATAAGTAAAATCTTGTTAGTTGATTGCTTAAGACATGTAATAAACTTTTCGCCCCATGAACATTAGAAGTCATTAATTATATTACTTTATGCGTTGCAGCAGAATCTATAAATTTGCTCCCTTTCAGGCTGCAAATAAAGGATTTTCTATTCTGGTTAGACTGTTATTTTTGGATTAATGTTTTTGCTATTTGGAAGCATTTCCTACAGATGCTGGAGTTCTTGTTTGCAAAGTCAAATAATGAGCTTCACAAACACCCAAGGTAGGATAGCCAGGGAGAGGCTTTTATTTAGAAATAAAGTGAGAGGACAGAGCTCCTGGCTTACACCGGGAGGGGACAAGAGAGCCTGGGGTGGTGTGTTGTCTAGAGGACTTAGAGGCAGTTGAGGATATTTGAGAATTAAGGGCTTAGGGTGTGGCCTTGTACCACCTGCCCTGCCCTCAAGGTGGGCTGGGTTGTTGTGCCCAGGGCTGTTTGCAGTGAAGTCACGGGTTATGCTGAGATACCCTTGCGGAACACTCAAACCTTCCAGGCCAAGTTGCTCCTGGCCTTTTGACCTTTAACTGATCTCACCGAAGATGTCTACATTCCTAGTCTAGTATCTTTACCCTAGAGAATTAGTGTGACCTTGACTTGGCATAATACTGGACACAGAGTTTCGATAGGGACTTTACATTGTTACATTGCTTTGACTGTAAATACCCTGCCTTGCTTTTTCTGGAGGCCCTCACCCTCCTCTGTCTAAGCCCATGGTCCCTGTCTCACTACTGAGCTGTCTGGTGGCACATTTACAGTGCAGAAGCATGTGGGATTTTTCTTTAATGAGGCCAGTTTCTAGTAAGTAATAGAAATCAGGCTGCTGCGCTGTCCAGAGAGTGATGGTGTTAGCTCCTCCCCTTGGTGGCTCTGGGTAGGTGTAAGGGCCTGCTTCCCACTGTCCACAGACTTCTTGTCTGTTTTTTAAGTATTGTAAAGCACTTTGCAAGTGTAAGTTGATTAATTAATTTCCTTTTATTTATTATATTGTATTTTATGGTACATATAATAAAATCTTAGTGTGCAGCTTAATGAATTTTGGCATCTGTTCACACTGCTGTAGAAATTGCCCAGATCAAGATATCAGGTATTCTCACTAATGTTTATTCCCCCTTCACCAATTTCACTCATTCCCCCTGAGATGGTGTATTTTCTTGAATCAAAGAGGATCACTCCTGGCCAAAAGCAGTTCCAGCTGACTGTAGGAACAATAGGGTAGTTTGATTTGTCAAGGTTCAGGACAGACAGCGCCAAAAGGAATTCAAAACCCCACGTAGGGTTGGGTCAGGGTTGGGTCGTGTTTTGATTAAGAATATGGTTTCTGGGTTGGATCTCAATTTGAATTCTGGTTGTACTTATTACTAGTGTGTGACCCTGGGCAAGTCATTTAACTTCTTTGAGCTTCAATTTCCTTATGTACAAATTGAGAATAGGTGAGAAATGAAGTAATGTATGTAAACTGTTTAACAGAGTGTCTAGGTCCAAGGTATGTACTTGTTAAATATTAACTGTTATTATTATTCTTTTTGTTACTTTTATTACAACCCTCATTACTACTGTAAATTGGTTTCAGATTCAGTGATAAACATTGGGGTTGAATTTTGAAATGAGTGCAAGAACTAATGGTAATGGAGGGTGGAGATTAGGAAACAAACTTCGCTCTTTCTAATGTGGTGTAGCATTAATCTACTTTGTTTTGCACAGCTGTCTTTCTCCCTCCTTCTGTGGCTTTGGATTTCCTTTGAGAAATCACCCTTTGCCCTTTTCCAGTCTTGTAGTTGGGATGGCTCAATCAATTAGAGTATCTCATCCCTTTGACCATAGTGCTGGGTTCGGGGAGGGTGCAGGTCACTTAGGTGGGACCAGTGTGGTGCGTTGAGACCTTTGCAGGAGCAGTTTCATTTTGCTCTCTTCCTACTGTGGAAGTGTGTGGATATGAGGCCTGAGGAGCCACAGCCGTCTGGGCACCACTTGGAGTTTCGCAACAGACCCAGTTCAGAGGAAGTAGAGCCGGGAAGTATCCTGGTGGCATCCTGGGAGGCTGGAATCAGCTGTGCCAAAGCCAGATATGTGTTTGTGGATTTTCCATGACAGGAATCAATACTTTCCTTTTTCCTTCCTCAGGCCAGCTTTCCTTAGTTCCCTGAGCCAAAAGGGAGAGAAATCTGTTACTCACTTGGTTTGGTCCGATGATTTCAGTTGTGTAGATGTGTTTATTACCAAAGTTCCATACCACTTGGAGGCTGTTTGGTAGCCTCTACATCTTCTATCATAAACAGAAAAGGAGATATGAAGACAGAGGCTTAGAAGGTCTTCGTTTTGCAGCGTGTAGTTAAATACAAATACAGTCCCAGTTTTGTGGTAAATGCTTCCTATTCTTTACCATTGGCCAAGCAGTCTCACAGATCTTCAGGTTTGGAAGAGACTCTGCGTCATCAGACATCTTTCTTAGTTTGTCTGTGCTCTTCCGGCTCTAGAAAGTGGGCGTGTATGCCTCTGCAGACTGGGACCTCGCTTTGTCCTGAGGCCCCTGGCCGTATCTGTACTGGGGTCATGCAGAATGATCTGAAGGTGACTTTAAAACCTCAGGGTAGAAGGGACTGAAAGAAGTGCCTGACTCACACACTGAATAGGGTTTAGAGATAGTCACTGATTTAAACAAAATGGTCCAAGAGGTCAGAAAACCCTGCAGGATTCTGTGTGATCTCCGAGTTGTTGCTTCACTGCTTTCATCCTCAGTTTCTGCAGCTATAAATGGGATCATAATTTGTACCATACAGAATTACTGTGAAAGTGGATTAATTTATGTAAAATGCCTGGCCTGGGCTCAATATATGGTAATGTGAATAATTTAGATCCAGTCTGGGAACAGTAGTTTGGGTAGATGCAGATCATTCTGAGCTCTGAATG